GCCTGTGTGTGTGCACCACTGAGCAGAGTCTGGCCCCAGCCTCTTGCCCCCCGGGGCCCTTGAGCTCTTGAGATGCACAACCCCCCCCTGAGATGCCGTTACCTCCACCCGCAGGATGTCATCTGCAGAAATGTCCTCCACCTTCTGCTCCACGTGCTCCACCAGCTTGGTCTGCAGCTCCAGCAGGATCCTGCCGCGGTACGCCACTCCCTCGCCCTTGGGGGCAGACCAGGGACCCCGTCAGGACCCCGCAGCCCCCTCCCCACGGGCCTTTGCTCTCCGTGGGCTTCGCTGGAGAAGACCAAGGGCAGGCCGAGCGTTCCTGCAAGCGCCTCCGAGGCGGGGGGCGTTGGGGAGCAGAGCGGCACCAGGAGGCGTGTGGCTGGTGGGAAGAGCCAGAAAACACCGTGCAGGTCCTACTCCTACAGCCAGTCAGGGTTAAAAGCAGCTTTTTTTGGTGGCAAGGAGGGGTGGCAGATTAGTCTGGGCCGTGCTGGAGAAGAAGCTGATGTCACCTTTCCCAAGTTGAGGGTCTCGTAGGGGTCGGGGAAGCCGGTGAACTCCCGGGGGCTGCCGTAGAGGTTGACGTAGCAGGGACCAAAGGTGGGCAGGAACCCGAGGCCATCATCCACTGAGGGGAAAGAGCCATTAGAGAGTCCTGAGGGCACCTCGGGGACGTGTCCCACAGGGCTGTGCTGCAGGACCACGGAGACCACGCGCATGGGGCTGGAGGCCACCAAAACCTCGCCGTTTTTCACCCCCTTGGAGTCCTACGACCACTTACCTTCTTGTAGGGCAAAGAGAAGGTGGGCGTGGGGCTGTGTGAGGGCACAGGGCTTCCTGGCCCAGGAAGGGTTCCCAGAGGAGGGGAGCATTGATCTGCTGGTGGGACCCAGCATAGGGGAGTCATCCCCAGCTCCCCTTCGGGCAGCAAGAGGCCTCAGAGGAGAATGGCTCATTTTTATGAGACCTCAAGCAGAAGGAGCAACAAAGGAGCAGAAACCACTTGCAGGGTCCTGCTCTGAGCTCCTGAGCTGGTTGCCCCCCATGCAGAGCTGGCTCAGTGCACAAGGAGACCATGAAGACACCGCTGCCCAAGGTGGACACCCCAAAGCTGCTGTGGGATGGGCCGTGGAGCCTGTCCCTGCTCCCACAGGGCACAACCCGTCCCCTCTTCCCACCAAGGTGCCCAGGCATGACACAACCAATCATCCCCCAGCTCTGGCCAGCAGTCCAGCCCTGAGGGCAACTGAACTGGCCCCATGGTGGTGGCAACCCAAGGGGCTAAGGGCACGTACGGTCTGTGGCTTTCAGAGGCTTCGCCAGAGCAGGAAACTCATCTGAGGCACAAAGAAATGGAGAGAGGTTAGGAAAGGCTGGAAGAGCAGCGTGAGGGTTGGGTAGAGGGCTGAGGAAATGAGGGTGGATGTTCTCATGAGCTTCTGGAGCCAGCAGAAGAGACAGAGAGAGAAAGGGAGAGGTTGTTACATAGATTGGAGCTGAGGAACAATTTCTTGCCCTGGAGGGTTGCCCAGGGCTGTGCCAGGCTGCCCAGGGCAGTGGTGGAGTCCCCACCCCTGGAGGGGTTTCCAAGCCGTGGAGATGTGGGGTGAGGGACACGGGGCAGTGGGGACCTGGCAGGGCTGGGGGAGGGTTGGACTCCAGGAGCTGAAAGGTCCCTTCCAACAGAACAGCTCTGTGCCTCTACGTCCCTGTCGCCCTCCCCGTGGCTGCAGGACCCATGTGGAAGGATTCCAGCACCCTGAAGGATGTTCTGCACCCTCCAAGAGTTGGGTGGAGCCACTGGGCAGGGGGGACCCACAGTTCCCTGGCACCTCCTCGGGATGAAGTGATGGGGTGGGATGTGCCAGTCCTGGGGAGACCCCTCCCAGCCTTCTCCCCCTCCCCACCAGCCTCTCTCTCTCTCTCCAGGCTGGCCCAGGAGCTGCACTTGAACTGGAGAAGAGAGGGGCTGGACACAAGCACGAGGGTGGAGAACCCCAACTCATGCACGGCCGGGCAGTGCTGGGGGGACACAGGCTGTGGGATGTGCAGCTGCAGCTTTGCACCAGGCTCGTGTCCTGGCAGCTCCTGCCAGGTCCATCCCTCATCCCTACAACGCCAGGATGGTCATTGGAGGGGTGGGGGCTCACAGGGATGGACACCACGAAGGGAGGGGAGCCTGATGGGGGTGCAGATGCCCCCAGAGCTCGTTAGCAGCAGGAGAAGCTCATGCAGGTTAGGACAGCCTCTGCTCCTGGCCCTGGCGTGGTCCTCAGCAGCCCCACAGCCGTGGCCCAGCTCCCTGCCCTCCCG